TTCCAATTAATCTTTAGGTGTTCATGAGACATTTTACAGGTGGAGGTGGACAGACTGAATCTCATTGTGTTTGGGTGAATAATATTCTGAGTCAGAGAGTGACTCGGTGACTTATAAAATCAGATCAGGTTTATGAGAGTTTAAACCTGTTTCCTACAGTAAGCCTAGTAGACTTTTTGCAAAGAACAATTTTCTCTGTCTTTCAGACATAATTATTGTTCTGCATGTTTTTTTTTAAATAGTAATTGTACAAAGTGAAGCTAAAACTTTGGCTCTGGAGAAATTCTGGATAGAGACTCTATAAAGCCTCAAATTCTTAACGCTAATTCTGACGTTTTGAAATGAAAAAGCTTCCTGGAAGGGAAGCGCAATTCTTTAAACTTGGAAAAAATGCCAGTGTTTTTTTTTTTTTTTACTTTTGTGGAATTCTGCATAGAGAACATTACTGAAAAAGAAGGTCATTCATCTGAAATCCAAAGTACTCTATATTTTATACAGTTAGGGCTGGATTTCTGCCCTGGGTTGCTTTTTTCTTTAAGGGAATGGCTTATTTAAGAGTCAGTATAGTTAATAATTAATCGATTACTTAATTAGTTGATGATTATTTAAGTAATGAATACATCAGAGTTGTTGTTTAAGTCCTAATTTCTGAGAGAGATGAGATATGAGGAGGTTTGGCCTTGAATCCTTGTTAAATGTATGAAATGATCCTGTTCAAAAAGGATGGTATTTATGTTCTTGTCACCTCAAGTAAAAGATCAAACCTCTCTGTTTCTTAAGTGTGGTCAGGTGTTCAGAGAGAGGGTGATGAGCTCTCTGATGAGCAATAGAAGGATCATGCAGCTCTACCATTCTATTTGGCCATTTTGTTAAGTCTATTTGTATTTATCAAAGGGAAAACAATTTTTTTCTGTGCAGAGTGTTGTGGGAAATTTTTTATCTTTCTTCTATTATATATTAATATTCATAATTACTCACTATAAAAGAATTCACTCAGTCTGTTCCTCTCTCAAGGCCACACATTTCTCTCCAGGCTGGTATTTGTAGACCAGACATTGCTTCTTCCCATAACAATCCAGATTCTTTCTCAAGGTTTACTGTTAACCAAAGTGTGTGTAATTTGTTATGACTCTGACTGCTTAAGTAGGGGGGGACGAACCCTGCCCAGATCAGAACAGAGCAGAATGCTATGCCATGATGGCTGTATGATGACTGTTCTCTCTTTGCAAAGATATTAATAAATGTGCCGACTGAGTGAAATCCATCGATCTCCGTTTATTTAACTAGGATGAATAGTTGAATACTTTTTCCCACGTCAAGAGCAACGAAATTAACTCCTAAACGGCTGGTTATACTCTCCCAGCAGTGTGTCGAATGTGAGCTTGACACAGAGATTTTTGAATTATGCCCAGTATTGAAGCGTGGTCTGCGCTATGTTATTCCACGCCACAACGCAAGAGGGACAATCAGGAACTAGCTGTGGGTCTAGATACGGCCGAGGCGGTGAGGAAGTGGGGGCAAGTTTGTGCGTCAACGGGGGGACATGAAGGTGAAAAAGAGCGGGGATCCAGGTGGAAAAAGGGTCCCAGCGTTCTTGCACACCTTCTAGCGTTTTCCACAATGGCAGTCATACAAACAAAACAAGCCGGCAAGGTACCAAACTGCTAAAAGTTTCTTAAAGAAGACTTATGAAATTAAACAAGGTGAAACTCAAACTTTTCCCCTTAAGGAGTTCTGGAAAGACCTTACTGACTTATCTTGATTGCAACATGTTGATATATATATATATATTAGTGCTGTCAATCGATTAAATTTTTTAATCGCGATTAATCGCATCAATGCCTGAGTTAACTCGCGATTAATCGCATTTTAATCGCACATTTTTTTCCTGATTGAAAATCATTTAAATACTCTCGATGACATACAAAAAAATACATACAGGCTAGGTTTGTGCCAATGTTCTTTTTTAAAAATGAAAACAGGTCACAGATACTGATTTATGCCATAGAAACACACTTAGCAAGAAGATGGGGAGGCATGTAGCAAAAAATAACAAATATGTAGCCAAAAAAAAGGCCCTGAAAACAGGCTGATGTAAAAGACAGTCTTTACAGTTAATACAGTCTTTTGAACAAAGACAAGCATTTTACCCTACTGCTATAAAATTTAGTAGAGTTAACATTAGATGTTAATTAACCAAGATAATAATGGACAATTTTCAATCAATACATCAAAATCAATAGACCGACATCACTAGATGGAGTCTATGCTCTAGAAAGTTACTTTTCAGCCTCTTAACAAAAATGAGAACACACACACACACACACCCACCCACCCACACACACACACACACACACACACACACACACACACACACACACACACACACACACACACACACACACACACACACACACACACACACACACACACGATACCGACCTGTGGCGTACACAGACAGCAAGAGCGCCGTAGCAGATTCCATTTCACCTCAGTTATCTGTTGTCTCAGCGTATTTCAGGTTGCTACTCGTTACCAGACACTCAACTTGTTTGTTGGTGGTGGGGCTTAAAGAAAAGGCACTAGCGCTACCCAGTGTATGATCGTCTTTTTCCCTTGAGGAGGTCCGCTCTCGAAGCATATGAGAAATGCATAGACTGGGGGAAAACAGCCCCGCCTTCCCGCAGGCTGCAGCGGGATGTACTTGGAAAATTGTACCATAAAACCACATAGCGTTAATCTCAAGTTAAAAAAATTATCGCCGTTAAAATGGCCTCGCGTTAACGCGATAATAACGCGATAATTTTGACAGCACTAATATATATATATATATATTTTTACAATTTTGATATAATTGCTGCTCTAAATGGGTTTCTCTATCAGCTAAAGGCATGTTTTAGAGTCTCTATACTCCAGTTAACGATTTATCGATTGCTAAATTAGTTGATGATTATGTCAATACTCGATTAATCACAATTAATCTGATTAATTGTTTCAGCCCTAAATCTAACCATATTCAAACAACCTCTGGGACCCTGGAAGTAGTGGTCTTCATCTGGTCTTAAGGGGGCTTTATATTCATATATTTATATATAAGGATGTAAAAAGTAAGATCAAATATTTTAGCTACAATATTTTGAGTTTTTCCAGTTTAACAATTCTTTAGGAAGCAATATTTAACATGTTTAACTATGTAAACTTTTTTTAAAGCCCAGTCTATTGAAAAAAAAACTGATCTTTGACATTTTCCAGATGTTGGTGTTTAGATTGAATGGTTAAAAAAAAAGTTATTTTGTGATAAGTCTGCCTGAAGCTTACTGCCACGGGGAATTAAATTCAAGAGCAGACCTTGGGGAACTAAGAGGCTGAACGCCAAGTTTAGAGTAGGGGAAAAGAAAGCAGTTATCTGAGTGCACGGTGCATCACCCTGACGTTTGATTTGATGTATTGATCAGCAAATACAAAGGACTTCTTTTCTTTATGCTCTGGCGGCTCAGAGGATCGGGTGGAAAAAAGCGGCTCTGTCTCTGGGTATCTTCACAGTTGTCTAGTCCCTTTTTGAAGAGGGCAGAAAGGGTTTAATCTCTTAAAGAGGACAGCGATATGATCTGACGTCACCTTTCATAAACCTGTATATTCTTATAAAACAGACAGAGCTCTAACTCTAGGAGTGGTTAGGCTTTCATCCTCACAAACCTTTTAATAAAATCAAGTTTTAAATCTTACTTTTAGGGAATATTTTGACTGGACACAGCTGTCTTCATTCTCTTATATCTGTCAGTGACAAGCTGCTCAGTTTTATAGTCTCAGACAAAGTTTTATGGATTGAATCCGCAGCACAATGCTGATTGTTATCCTCTTGATTAAAAGGACGCAATGTTAATATTCGTTGTTAGATTTGGATGTCATTAGGATCCTCCCCTATTCACACGCTCTGCAGTATTCGTCATAGATTAAAAATACATTTTCTGTTTCAAAGGTGTTTCTGCATTGAGAGCAGTATTGTTGTGCTAATCTTCTCCCTTACCCCACTAGGTCTGGTGCCAGAATTCATCAAAATATCTTTGCCTCTGCAAAATAGTCGCAATCCAGAGTTTTTGCTCTCTAATTCAGAACCTCTAACATGGAGGGATTTGCTTCAAAAGATGCACTGTCAAGCTAATAGCATATCTCTGTGATGAAGCTGTTCCCTGAATGTAAATCAGGCAATATAGCTTCATTGATTGAAAAAAATAAAAGAGAAGAATAAATTCATACATTTTGTGATTAAAATCAATCCCAGGGCAACTTTTCGTTCTGATACTCAAACTCAAACTTAGTCTGCAAGCCATGATTTCTGTGAATTGAGTCTTTGTTGTTTGTTTTGCTAGTAATACAAATTATCACAGACCATTCTAATGAAAATGCTTCACAGTCTGAGGTAGGGTTGTCACGATACTAAACTTTTCAACTCGATACCGATAATAAGGAAACTATTCGATACTTGATACCATTTTCGATACCACAAGGATGAAAACAAAGACTCCAAAATTCTACAGAAAAATTTTCATTAATAAATAAAATACAATAAATAAATACAATAAACAATAATGCATCTGGCTCAGGGGTTCTCAAGTTCAGTCCTCAAGAGCTACTATCCTGCAACTATTTGATGTAACCGTTTTTAACACACCTGAATCAAATGAGTGGCTTGTTACCACGCCTCTGCTGAGCTAAAGGAGGGGATTTAGGCTTTAGATTCAGGTGTGCTAGAGAAGAGATTCATCTAAAAGTTACAGGATGGTAGCTCTTGAGGACTGGACTTGAGCACCCCTGATCTGGCTGTTGTCAGGTTATTAACTTTTAGGTCTTCACAAACAAAGGTAACAACAATTTGCCTTAACGTTGGGTGCACAAGTCAAATAAAATGTGTCAGAGCCTGTGATGAAAGGACTTAAAGTTTTTCTTTCTGAATTAAGAGTAATAAGAATCTAACTATTTTCTTTTCATTTTATTTACAGTTAATACCTGGATGTTGAGTGGGACATCAGGTAAGCGCATCCATCCATCCATCCATCCATCCATCCATCCATCCATCCATCCATCCATCCATCCATCCATCCATCCATCCATCCATCCATCCATCCATCCATCCATCCCATAACCGCATTAACAAAAAAGTACTACTGATCTGAAGCTTTCATCCCACACCTACATTTCCACCTTTGCCTCATTTCCTTCTAGATTTCTCCCCCTTTTGTTCAAAGTGGCTCATACAGAACAGCATAAGGCTTATAAATGCTTTGCCTTTTCTTTATTTCTTGTCAGCCTCTGACAGTTTCAACTTAGAGCCCACTATTACCTGGCAGAGGAGATTATGCAACGAATCCCGTTTACGGTGGGATGTGGAGGTCTGTGGAGAAGACTTCAAGCGGGTCATGGCTTACATAGACCCGCTGCAGTGGTGTAACCTCACACACTTCATGAGGTAAACTGCATTTATAGTTGGGTTTTAGTAGAATGTAACTTTGTTTAATTGATATAATAGTTCTGATATGTTAAACAGTGGCATTAAGCACCAAGTACTTTCTTCACATCTTGCTGATGATGGATTAGATTAGGATTTAGAGGCAGACTGACTAAAAATCCCATTACCCTGGACACTTTGTTTTGTTCTCTTTTACACAGCAGGGGGATTACACATCTTAAATAGCCTCTCCCCATCAGGTAGTCTCTTTGTGATAAAAGGGGCTAGTTTTTTAGGTATCAAAGGCATGTCAATATCTGAAAGAATGAAAGTAGTCTTTGGAGCAGAGACATGTTTAAAACATGAAGTACCTCTTGGTACAAAGCAGCATGTTGCCTTTGTTGTTTCCCCATCATCTCATATTGTACTCTGATGCTATCTCTTCCCAAAGTAAAAATGAAGGATGAAAAAAAAAAGAACAAGCTGCCTCTCACATGATAAAAAAATAAAATAAAATCCTCAGACCAGTCTGTCCTCCTTAATTGCTCACCACTCCCCTTTGATCCAAACACTTCAGCTGTGGGTCCTTTCAGATTTAGCTCTGACACTCTGACAGGTCCTCAGCCCCATACACCTGTTAGGGATACAATTAAACCTGCCTGATGCTGCATTAAGACTTTTTTTGCACCAAATTAGCTCTGTTTTAGAGCCAATTTGGCCAATTTTTTCCTCCCCATATGCTAACATTAACCTTTGATAAAGACCCCTTTTAGCATTTTTGTTGCTCTTAAGCTACTATTGATTAGGGTCCATTTTGTGTGCATAATATATATACATATATACATGTATATATATATATATATATATCAATTCAAGCTAATGGATTTAATGGGTAAAAAAGTAAAAAAAAGTTGGGGGCTATCTTTTTAACTCGAAGTCAAACCCTGGCCTAAACGCACAAATTTTTCACCAAACCAGCCTCTCATCCATACGAAGCCGGCGTTTCGGGGGTCTGTAAACGATGTTTTTTTTATTCAGCCTTCAGAGTGGGAAGATTTTGAAACGCCGTTTTCGCGTTTCCATCTTTAAGCTCTAACCGCATTTTTTTTTTACACGCATGTGTCATAGCGTCGCCTCTAAACACGCATGCGTATCACAACAACAATGGCGCCGTACTGTGTTGAATGGTTGCTGCCCATGCTACTCACCCTGCTGTCGGGCTTACAACAGAATCTTCTTCTTCTGGAATATCTCCAGGAAGAACAGAGCAATATCGACGACATAGTTCAGCACCTGAATTTGCCTGAACCACAAAAATGGACCCGCAGGGCAGCCATGTATAAATATTAGTGCGCATGCCCAACATTTCGTCGCCTATTTTTGCTTTGGCACGACAGCGCCACTTACAGGCCTGGCATACATTTTGCAGCGTTTTCATGCATCCGTGTGGACGATCACATTTATTTTACGTCTCCGTCTTTACGACAAACATTCTGGAAAATATTAGCGTTTCATGTTCGTTTTGACTTTGTGTGGACGGGGCCTTAGTCTACTGCGAAGATTTACACTAAGGTGCTGGAGAGGAGAGTCTGGACTATAGATGAACCTCCACTTCAGGGGGAACAGTGTGGACTTTAGTCCCACTCATGAAGCAGTGAACAAGTTTTATACCTACTGCAAAGTAGTCAAGGGTTCATGTAAGTTTACCCAACGGGTCCACATGTGGTTTGCAAACTTGGAGAACACATTCCACTTTGTTGCTCATGGTACTCTGTGGGGGGGCACTTCTGGAGTACGAAGTAACAAGTTCTTCACTAGGGGCCATATAGTCTCTATACAAGCGGTGCAAGAGTCTGACCATCGAAGGGCAATTCAGATCTAATTTCTAATTCAAATCTAATTTTCCTTATATGTATGTGTCCTGACTGTAGAGATGTCCCGATCCAGGTTTTTGCACTTCCGATACGATACCGATACTGTTTTTGGACTTCCGATCCGATACCGATACTGGCCGATACCAGCCTATCCGAGCATGTATTTAAGTTTAAGTTAAAGTATTTAGCCTTAGTTGTAAGACTCATGTTGAAAAGGGTTTTAGTACTTTTGATAACATCTAGCCAGCTAAATTAGGTGAGATTGAATAAAACACAATGCTTGGTAACAACAAACTTACCTGTTTATTAAGAGATAAACACAAACTGGACAAAATTACGAATAGCAATCTGAAATTGCACAGTGAGCAGTAAAACCGTAAACAGTTAAAGGTGCAAGTATTACTGTAAGTTTTAAAAAAAATGCAAAACAGGGGAACACTGGCGCAAAATAGTGGAATGGATCTTTTCAATCGGCGAAACTGGAAAATACGGACCAGATTTTTTTTTAAAAACTGGATCGGCAGTCTGGATCGGCATTTTACATGCTTTGCCGATACGCATTTTTTTGCCAATATCGGCGTCCCGATCCGATACGTGGATCGGATCGGGACAAGCCTACCTGACTGTGGGTGGATACCAGATAAAAACAAAATCAATAGAAAACGCAGAGAATTAAACTCATAACATTTTGTTCCAACGTCATTAACATGAATGTGACTGCCTCTCCAGGACTATAATGGAAAGGAGGAGTGAAAAGAGAAGGTAGAAGCAGAGAGTGATGAGATGGATGAGGCTGTGAGAGTGGAGGGTATCATGTTTAAACAAGCCCTGACCCCTTCAGGGCTTCCTTTGTTTTACAAATGAGTTGTGGCTCTCTGTAATGATCCCTGATAGCTTAACACTCACTCCAGTGTTGTTTAAAATGAGTGTCGGCTTGTCAGGGTACCAAAAAGGTTATGGGTAGACCGCTGAGAAGGTGTGCGTTGATTTATTTGCTTCATCATTTGCATCAAATAACATATTGATTTTCCTCGCTGAACAGTTCACAGCTCTGGAGCAGCAAGCTTTAATGGTGTGCACACGCATTAGCTACAGAGGAGAAACACTGCTGTTCTGCATTATTTAATAACGCATATGAACTCTTGTCAGTCCAGGTGGGAACAAAACACTGCGTCAAGCTTGTTTTAACCTTTCAAATTTGTAGGTGGGAAAAAAAGCAAGTACCTTAACACCAAATTGTGAATCTTGGTTTTTCTGTACCTGTATGAGCAGAAAAATCAGATAACACTTAAATTCTGGAAGTGACACATTTAGGTTATGCAAGTGGAAAATTGCACAAGATTAAGAGAACAATAGTGTGATTGTAATATGCTTATTAATTATGACATACGCTCCGTAACAAGTTTATCATGCAGACCTTACTAGTAATGAGTTGAACCCTGTTTTTATTCAGAACTGCTTGTATTCTTTGTGGCACAGATAAAGCAAGGTATTGGAAATGTTCCTGAGAGATTTTTGTCTATATTGGCATCACATGATCGTGCAGCTTCTAAAGATACACCAGCTGCACATCCATTATATAAATCGTTCCCCCAAAACCCAAAGGTTTTTGGTTAGACTGAGCCCTGGTGGTTGTTGAGCTCATAGATTAAATGTTATTTGTGACATGGTGTCTTATCTTGTTGAGAGTAGTCATCAGAAGATTGGTAGATTGTGGTTATTAAGGGAAGGACTTGGCCCTTACAATCCCCTCTAAGGCTGTGACATTTAAGCAAGTATGGGCTGGTAATCAACAGCCAAGCTTTCATGGTTGTAGTGAAAATTGCCCCAATTATAAACCTACTGTTTGAATGTCGCTGCTTAATTTAGGGTTCATTCGGAAGGGCGCCCCCCCCAAATAATCCAACAGCCATTTCTTTCAGAAGAAATGTGCCCTTAATTTTCAACTATTAGCCAAAGGGGTAACTCTGTGGTTTAGCCCTGCTGTTACTCATCTTTTTTAAGGTTTTAAGTGTTAGGTTGTCAGAGAGTTAAGGCCAATTTATATGCTTCTGACGCATAGCCTCTGCAACTGTCAAATCGGTCTCTGTGCGAAACATGCCCCCCGCAGAGAGGTTCTGCAGCCGTCGTCACGCACCTAAAAATAATCCTGACTACGTGTCGGACGGTCGCAAACCTGCGCAGACAAAAAGCAGCTGTGATTGGTCCTTGGTATGCCTTTGCAACTGTCTGTGTGGTCGTCCTTCTCTATTTTTAAAAACCGAGGAACAACTACAATGGACAACCTATGTGTCTCCCTAACGTGATATCTTGCACACTCTCCATTGTTGTTTTTGAAGATAAACATTCCCGTCGGTGCTGCCGACGTTCTCGTGACCATCCGCCGAAGTTCTTGCAAGTTCTGGAATAGGCTCCCCCTTGTGCTTTGGCGAGAAATTGCTGTGCGTCCCTCGAAATTCCAGACCGATGGTGCAGAAGCATACCAGCAAAACTGGATCACGACCAGAACCAAGCGACATTTCATGTGTGCGGTTGCAGAAGTCTAATCTGCCCTTTAATTTGTCTGTTCGATCAATGTCTGTTGCTCTTCTGTGAGACACTTCACAAATTCTCCTACTGCCTTTGACATTAGCAACATGTCTTTGTGGACACAAGTACAACAAAGTACAACATTTGGTAATTTTTCATTTTGTAAACCATTCACTGTAAACCATAGGGAAGGTTTAGTGGGGATTCCAAATTAATCAGCAGTTTGAAATACTCTCTCTTTAACTTTAACATAGGGCTTGAACTTTAGGGAGATGTTCTCAGAAAGTCTTAATACAACCAGTCGATAAACGGATTGAATCATTTACTCTTTATATAAACAGGCATTTGAACTGGTACCTTTAAAGTAGTTTGTCAGTGCTTAAGTATTTTTGAAATAATACCAAAACTCAAAACGGTTTGATTCGAACATTTTGAACTTCAATGACTTTCAACACAATACACAGAAAAGAAACGCCTCCCTGTCTAGATCTCAAGGACTGTCATTATTCAGAAGCAATTACTTTATAATAATACAATTATTCTTTTCTCAGGTCCCTTGAGTTGAAGCGTTGACTGAACAACGGTGAAATATGTTGCCTCATGCAAAGAAGCAGCCCG